TTTTTTTATTATTCAAAATTACAAGTTATTTTAAAACCCTGCTTCTTCCTTTCGAATTATAAGATAGTAAGTAAACTAATTTTTGTTTCCCAAGTAAATATTATATTTTATATTAAGCTTTTCTTATGAAACATATTCAACAGGCAACTTTTTTCTCATAAATACATAATTATGTACATATTATGATATTGATTAGACATATTTTAGAACAAAGAAAACCACAATAAGATTTAAACTTTTTTTACCATCAATAAGAATAATTATAGTTATCGTTATAAATATTCATTTCTTTATAACAAATATATCAACGTTATACATAGAGGTATTAATATAAAATACAACTTAAACTTCAGAATGTCAAGAAAAGAACGCTTGGGCGCTGTAAATATGAAAGTAATGAATTAAAAAAGTCAAATATGCAAAAAACACGTTACTGTATAATATATAAACACATAGTTATATTGATATTAGATTTATAAATTCTATTTTCCATTAACAGTCACTATAAAGAATGTCTATCGAAGTGTCAGTGGCTGGCATTAATTCATTGTGCCCTGGACGGAGCCAAAACATGTCCTAAAGTTTTATTAAAATACGAGAAAATGTTTTAAGCCTGATTGCATCAATGGTTTTTGTCTTTTTTGTATAAATATTGGTTACAGAAAATTATGGTGTTGTGGTATATTGGTTAATAGGAATATTCAATTGTTGTATTATATTCGGTAACTTCTCACTCTAAGGGTGAGTTTCATTTCTAGTCTTAATTAGGAAAAGCTTGACTATCTTCTATTCTTTTAGAATAACAACACACTTTTTTAAATAAAACAATTTATATAAATACAGAAAACATCTCAAGTATGTATACGTTTCATTTTTTTTACTATGTTTTCAATCCTTTATTTTTAAAAATAATACTGATGACTATTGATATATTTTACAAAATAAGAACATACCATTTCAATCAACAAAATAAATGTATAAAACCAAAAAATACTAAACAAACATATATTTTTCTGCTATCCTTTTTTTATACTGTTCAAGACACGTCTGGGCGAAACGCAAATATTACACTTCGTACACAAACTTTTCAGACGATTCAATTACTTAATCTCGTTTTTTATGGTCCATATTTTGTATATTATTTATAGTCAATGGATCATGATCATAGTCTAGAATATTAATTTGATCTTATAAATTAAAGTTTTAATGTCGATGTAACTTTGTTATAAAGTTTTAGGTAATCTTTTAAGTAATTAAGGCCTTAATAAGCTTTTAGGTGCTTCTTGATTAAAAAAGTCAACTTTTATATTAAAAATCTCAGCTGTCATTAAATAGCCACCAGCAACTTAAAAAAACGCTTTTGTCAATAATATTATAAAAAAATCTTATCAATATCTTATCTGATCGGAGTTACATTTCATTATTGTTAGAGGTACTGTAGAGTCAAAAATACTGCTACCTTTTGAAAGTATTCTAATAAATTGAATTATCTTGAAATAGTTGTAATATGAATTATACGTCTAATATACGTCTAACAAAAGTATAACAGAATATAAACTATATTTAAATAGTATCAAAAAGAAAATTTCTTTTCGCAAAATAAATTTCAATCACTTTAAAAACTAAAGTTAAATTCAAGGTAATAATTAATAAATATGTGCCCATGCAGCATACTACATATAAACATTTTGTTAGGGATTGAAATTTAATGCTTATTTAATAATATCACAACGGTGTCAAACATTGTAGTTTTCATTTGTTATAACTTGGATTATTTGAAAATATTGAATAATGTCTAACATTTTTTACACATTTGTATTTTAACAGTTCAATTATAAAATTTATTTTGTATATATCTGTACGAGTATTATATTCGTTACATAAAAACTTGTCGGCACCGACATCAACGAACTTGTTTAATGTTAATTTGCATTTCCTTACCACACAGTTATATATTACTAGCTTTTGCCGCGACTTAGTGCGCGTGGAATAGTGACTTCCGGCAGATTTTTGGTTCTTCCCACATAGTTCCCGTTCTTGCGGGGTTTTCGGAATGGTCGAGTTCCCGTAGAATTTTCAGGATAAAACCTACGTTTTTTTTATTCACAATGTACTCTTAACCAACTACATAATTATTTGTTTATTTGAATAAAGAATAATACACATTTACCACTATATCTTTGCTCCTTTTGGTCGTAGCGTGATGTTATATAGCCCAAAGCCTTCCTCGATAACTGCACTATCCAACAAAAAAGGAATTATTCAATTCGAACCAGTAGTTTCGGAGATTAGCGCTTTCAAACAAACAAACTCTTCAGCTTTATAATATTAGTATAGATTAAATATTACATGGTCACGTAATCCAAAAGAAACAAAACCTACTACTTAACGTGTACTGCTCATGAAGATGAATTTGTATTCCGTACTTTTTTTGGTTGATATAACTCTTTTTTTATGCTAAACTAGCTATTTGAAAAGCAGGTATTTACAACTATATAACAAAAGCATTCGACTTTGTCCATGTTTTTGTGTGATCACCAATATTTTGTTATTTGTAAAGTATATATTTATATTTCTTTTTGCTATAAGTGTATTGTTAAAAGTGTAACAGTTATATGATATAATAGAAATAGAAATTAAATCCGCATTATATTGATATTCCATGACATTATAAATAGTGTTAAATAATAATTTGTGCTAAATTTTTTAGTATACACATTTTATTTCCAGAAATATGCTAAAACTCAGAAGAAGTCGATTTCGCGTTATACGAAACATATTTTCGATTTACGAACCGTAGCTACGAGTCTTACAAACGCGTTAGAAATAGACTCTACAGGATGTAATATAACTTCGCTTGAAGAAATACTCAATGTGTTAGTGGAATGCTACGCTCATACGAGCATTCTTCTAGAACAATTCAACGTCGTTCTGAAGTCTGTTCCGGAAAAACATTTAAATACTGATTCTGAGCCAGATTTGGACAAAGTGCTATCAAACTCACCTTTGGCTGATTGTTTCAAGGATAGCGATGAATGGAAGTCTCTTAATAAAAAAATTAAGTCAATTATATCTCTAGTTGATAAACAAAAGGCACTGTTAAACAAATTATCTCGAAACCCAAAACAAATCGAAGAATCCATTAAGTTACCTCTAGTTTCTCAAAGTCATATAGAAGTTAAGAATAATTTGGACGTTATAATAGAAAAAAGTGAGGAAATTATTACCGAATATCAGTTTGTTTTCAAAACGACGGTCATAAAAGACTTCACACCGCATCATCCAATACTAAGAAGCCTTGAAAATATGGTGGCTTACATTAAAGATATAAAAACAGAACTTGATAAATTGGATGAACCGATAGACCAAGAAATGGATGAAACTGACGGCACAATGTTAGAGCAGACTGAAGATGTTGTGGCTACGATGTTACTTGTGATACAATCGTTGTACAAAAAACATCTGCCGCCAGAGAAACAAGCGGAGAATATGGACGTTATAAACGCTATTGATGAAATTATACATGAAGGTGAAAAAGTTGAAACCAAAGAATTTTTAGAAGATAATCATTTAAAAGAATTACTCCAAGAGAACCTATCGCCTGATTCAAGAATGTTGCAATTGGAAACTTCAGTTACAAAATTGCGCTAACTTTTGATTAACTATGTGCAATGTATTGCGACTCGGTCTGATGTGGAAGAAGCTAGAACTGTTGTTATGAGATTGGTACCGATATTGGAGCAAGTTATACTATTTGTCCAATATTTTGTATCCCAAAAAGTTGCTGTGCATAGAGTATCCTGTAAAATACTGTTAGTGCTTTTGAAGATTTTCTTGGATCTGGCATGGAAAGGGTAATTATATGTATACAATTTAAATAAAATATACCACAATGTTAAAATGAATAAGTTGGGGTTGCATTTAAATATAAAACTTTATAAATATCTAAAGTACAGAAAATTTATAAAATATTATAAAAACTTTCATAAATAGCCACAAATTAGATAATGTCAATAAGTTGTTCCACTGAAGCTTTTTAATTCATATTGTACTTACGATTATCCTTGAATAAGTTATTGTTTAAGAATGTTTTAGTCAAGTAATAAATTGAAATTTCCTTTATTTACAGTTTCTGCCAACACTCAGAACTAGATTCAGAGGAGGGTGAGGGAGAAGGCACTACTGGAGACAGCGGTATGCGACTTGGTGAGGGAGAGGAACAGAAAGATGTCTCTGAACGCATAGAAAACCAGGTGTGGGAAACGGATAGATAGAATTATTGAAAGATCATTGACTTGACTTGATCATTGAGTTTTTGTTTTCAAAGGATCAATTGGACGACGCGCATAAACCGGATGAAGAAAAGAACGAACAAGATAAAGATTGCAAGGAAGAAGAAAAGGGAGTCAATATGACTGACGACTGATTCACAAGACGTCGAACAGAAAGGTTAATAATATAGTCATATAAAATTAAGCTTTAAGCATATAAAATAGGGTTGCAAATTAAATAGATGTCCTTTTAAATTCCAGAACAATCAGATGAAGAAAATGATGATGACGATGCCGATAAACAAATGGGAGATACAGATAATGCTGCCTAAAGTAAGTGAATATCATCATTATTTTTACCACACATTACAATAATTATTATAAAATGTGATCTTAAATATCGAATATTTTTTAATATGTTTTTAGTCACATGTATAATTGAAAGCAGAACCAATTTATTTGAAATTGACTAATATTGTTAAATTGTCATAAAGTCGGTTAGCAAGAGTTAGAACGTCCAATATATACATATGTTAAGAAAGATATTAGGAAAATAAAAGGATGCCTTTATTTTCATTATTGTATAAGTAAGATTCTATAAGCTGTTTTAAAAACACGGTGTAGTTAAATTGCATTTGTATGAACGTTACAGCTCTAGTTAACCGCTCTGTATAATATTAACTAATTTTGTGTAAAGTTATTTTAATATTCCCTATTTTTTGTTCTTTAATGAAAAGGCTCGATCAACAACTATGGGGATCCGAAGACGAAGAAGATATAGACGAAGAACAAAATAAGAACGAGGTAAAGGTGAGAAAGAAATGGGCTCTAAAGAATAAGAACTAGGAAAAGATGAGCAGTGAAGGAAGGGAAAGGAAAAATAAGATATTAATGAAATGGAACCCGAAGTTGACGATGACCAGGTTAGTTTATTCGACTCTTTCGTTATTATTTAAGTGTTGATGTTAACTATATAGTAAATAATTTATTTTCAAGGTTGATCCCCATCATGGAAAACAACAAGAACTACCTGAGCCCGAAGACTTTGCAATGCCCGATGATTTAAACTTGGACGGCGAAGAAAAAGACGATAAGGTAAACATATATTGTTCACGAAACTCTTCATAATAATTGTTTAATAAAATAATAATAAACTAAATATCACATTCAGGATGGAGAAACTGAAACTGAAAATCCGTTTGAAATCGACGCGATGAAAGAAGCTTTACAAGAAGAGCAGAAAGAAAATGATGATGAAGATAAAGATAAAGGAAATAAAAATGGTCTGGAAGTGTCCAGTGATGAAGAAGGTGAAGGAAACGATGCTGAACAGGTAGACTTATAGTATAATCTTCTTCTTCTATATATATATATATATATATAAAAATGGATTGCTGTTCCTTAGTCTCGCTAAAACTCGAGAACAGCTGAACGGATTTATCTTATCTTAGTCTTGAAATGTTCGTGGAGGTTCAGGGAAGGTATAAAAGCTGAATAAATTGATTCATTACTGGGAAAACCATAAAAACAGCCCTTTTCTATTTCCCATACAAACGTTTTTTTTTGACATTAGATTTGACAACTAACTAATATGTCAATGATTCTGTCGCACTTCAAAACACGGAGATTTATGGCTTACAGGTAAACTCCAAAAATATAAATAAAAAAACGTAATAGATATTTCTTGATTATAGGGCGATACGAAGTTTGCCAGGTCTTCTAGGATTTTCATAAAATTAACATCGGATCTACTAGTCGATTTGTTATACTACAATTTACTGCGTTGACTATTTTCATTAAGACACTTTCATCCGAAAACCAAAGTTTTAATTGTTCTTTAGAGTTGTTAACCACAAAAACCTTCATTTAAAAAGCAAACTTTAGAAATATTCAAACAATTATCCGTTTTAATCGAAATATTTGAGTTCTACGAGTTATTCTTTTAATTAACAATTTTTCTACTACTATTATAGCAAGAAACTGCATCAAATTATTATTCTTTGTGATAGTCTACAAAATATATGTATTATGTTGTGCATTTGAATGTGTTTTTATGATTAAAAAAAAATCAGGCAAATATACAGGGCGACTGGTGAATTACTATCAATATTTAAAGAGAATACTCCGTAAATGATTCTCATTCGAATTATGTAAAAAAAATAGGTACTTAATTTTTGACCAAATTTCCGTATAAATAAATAATGTGTGGACACGTTCCAAGTGTGGACATGTGCGGCGGCGTGCTGATACATCACCACGCCGCCGCACGCTGGTGTGTGTGTGTGTGTATACCTAATCTGTAGGGTGTTCACACGATGCGTAATTAATTGTAATTATTTCGTCTTTGAAGCCTCCCATTGCGTGCGTCGTGAAAACGGTTCAAGATACACAAAAAATATGTATGAAAGAATAATAGCTCTTTTAATGATCTAAAAAACAGTCCGCGACAGTATATGTCTATCTTTTAAGATTAACTCACAAAAACCGTTTTTATGTACCTAATTTGGTCGAAATAATTTGTTTAAGTTCTATCAACACAATAATATTAATCTTTATTCAAATAAACAAATAAATATGTTGTTGGTTAAGAGTACTTCATTGTGAATTAAAAAAAAAACAGGTTTTATCCTGAAAATCCTACTGGAATTCGACCATTCCGAAAACCCCACAAGAACGGGAACTATGTGGGAAGAACCAAAAATCTGCCGGAGGTCACGTGGACGAAGTCGCTTCAAAAGCTAGTACTACATATTATTTCTAGGCACCTATGTTTATACTTTATCCAGTTTCGTTTTTTATAACTTTTCTATTAAAGTTCGCTAAATAGATATCAATTATTTGTTGGACCTAAATACATTTTCAAATTAGACTTTATTATAATATCTATAACATTAATATTCATTAATAAACAATACCCTTTTTCGTTTTAATGTAGTGCATATAAAGACATTATTATTACATATATAGAAATTAAGAAAACGTTACAAGGAAATCGTAACGGTTATTTTAATTTTATATTTTATTGAGTTTCACAATCAAAAGTTATGTTTCAATAATTGATACGTTTAACATTTAATAAGATTACATCATAATTATTTTTTCTGTGACAAAACTTTGTACTAGGATAAGAGTATGTGACTATTTCATGTTTTTTTAATATATGTAGTTCTTTACTGGTCTGTTTATGGGGCCGGCCGGAACCTTTATACTTAAATTTTACGCAAATCGTTCAAGGTGTATGTATGGTTTTTTAGATAAAACTAAAATATTATAACGAAATATTGGTAAGAGTTTTGAAACGTCTAAGCAAAACATAAATTTTCTCCATTACCATTTTTTTTGGAATCTTCATTTTGGATGTCTTTTTAGACTAGTTATATGTACATTTAAAAGTATTATATAGCATCAGGTACGATTTCCTGCTCTTAGGAGTAGGAGGTAAGTAAGTATATTTTCTAATAATAAAAGAAAATTGTAACTTATATAAATATTTGAACTTACAAAGCAGACTAGTAAAGTAAATAATAAAAATGTAATAACGCTGCTCCATAGAGATCAAAACCTTTGTATGAAGAAACAACTTTGTACAAAGCTTCGTTATATTAAAAGTAAAATTGTATTAGACGTATTCACATAATGTCTAACATTTGCGGTTCTTTTTTTCTCATTAAACTGATTGCACATTATCCCTTTAAATATAAATAATGGTGAAAGATTTTTATTATGTAAGTAAATTTTTTATATAATTAAACTGAAGAGGAACGCTTTTTAATGTTTTTATTTAACTTATAAAAGTTAAAATATTTTTCAATTAAATGAAAATGTAAAGAATTTAAACTAAGCTGAAAAGTTATTATTTTTTTCTAATAATCGTTTACGTGTAGGTATTACACACACACGCATCGACTGTATGATAATTGTAATAATGTATGATGACTGTATGATCGATGTATGATAATTTGGTAGGATATCATAAAAAAATTACGTATTTTACATCGGCTCGGATTATGCAATTGTTATGGAAATATATACAAGAAAATATGCATATTATACGCAAAATCGAGACTTGGTGATATTGCATTTTCCCACTTTGAATTTAATTGGAAAGACTCGGGAATATAATTGAATTTGATGTAAAAACTAAATCCAAGTAGTAATATTATTTTAGAAAAGTAAAGTAAAGTAGAAGAAGTAGAAAAGTAATGTAAAAAGTACAGTAAATCATCATAATTGAGAAAAATATATCCAAAAAAACTTTTTTTAAAGACTATAATAAATTAAATTTCCGGCCAATAAATAGCACAGTCAAAACCAAAGTCAATCAATTCTAAAATTGCAGTTCGGATAGCCACTTAAATATAATAAGCCTGTTATATGTTTGAAATGTTAACATATTTTTTTCAATAAATAGTCGGTTCAGTAATAAAACAGATCACCAATTAAAATGAAATTTTGCTCTATTCTATTTCTATTCTATTCTATATCTAAAAATGGTGTTTACTCGAGGGCTCGCGTGTTATAAGATTTTGGATAAGAAGTTTCAGCATTGCTGCGAGCATTTTATTACATTTCCATAACTCTCCACTCATAGATAATTGACAATAGAATGATTTTATAGCCTTACATATGGCAAGCACCCAACGACTTTTTACTCTGTATTTAATAATTCTGTTTGTAACTTAAATTTTATTTTAATTTTATTTTGAAGTCATTACATAACTATGATTGATTGTTTAACCTTCTGCTACGGTAATATAACCTCTTTGTTATTAAATTTATTTTTAAGTTTTTAGTTCGGTTTGCTATAAAAACGTGTTTTTTAGTTTTTTAAACTATTATTTATTTATTAAACTAGAAATTAACTTGAACTCATTGTTCGTTGTAATAATGTATAAAACTTTTTGCCACTAATATTTTAGCAACTTGTTATAATAGGGTTTTTTACAAAATATAACTCCAGCAGTATTTTATTACTTAGCCTAACTTTACAATGATGTACTAATTTGAGATTTCAACTTTAATTAATTACAAATATAAAATTGGTTAAAATACGGTCATTAACGCGATTTTATATTAATTTCCTTACTTGAAGTTTAGATTGGTTTGCTGTATCAATATCTATAGATATGATCGGTCTATTGCCACTTCAGCATAGTAATTTGTTTCGCGATGTCGTTGGCGTCAGTTCTATATCGTAAACTCTATTCTTAATTCGGTCTGCTAGAGAAAGTAAGAGTTTGTCATGCTCCATAGCTCCTGAACGACCTTGAATAATTGGACCAGTTTTATAGTAGGTTTACGTTTTAGCTCTGTAGGTTAATTTGATACGACTGGAGGAATAGAATTTTAATTTTTCAACCAAATATGCCAAGATCGAGGCTAGAAATTTGCTATGCTATTTTATATGATTTTCCGGTGTGAGTGAACATGGGGAAAAAGAGTTAGGATCATTGTTACAATTCTCGACATGTTTACTTGTAGGTGTCTCTGTTAATTAACATCCGCAGTACTAGTTATGAGAATTACCGTATCACAACAAATATAAGGCTAACAGACTCATGAAAACTGTGAATTAATAATGAGGATAGATTGATAAAACAAAATTAGTTATCAAAGTTCATGTGGCGAAACCCGTGTTGACCAGTGTGAACATTAATTACACGGGAACATTAATTCACGGTAAACGAATTGGTAAGACGAAATTATTTCCATAACAATGATAATGCCTTCAAGAAATTTGTTGATTCTATTAAATAATCAAATTTAATTGCTTACTTTTTCTTCTTACAAGTTTGATTATGAAATTAAATTAAAATAGATAGTTGTTTAAAAAAATCGTAGTTATTCAGTTAAAAATGGATGTTTAGGATAATGCTTATTCAAAATTCTGTTTATGGTATCCCCGAGTATATTTGTGCGTCGGTCTCCAGACCAGACATATTTAAGTATTCTCGAATTTTAAAGCGCGTTGTGATGATAGAGCCAACTGTTTCTTGGCAAACCAACATCCCCAAAAACCATACCATCAAGGTCAATAAATATTACGAGCTCACTAACGAAACTACTCCAAATAAGTTCGTCGTGGATTTGTAAGCGGTAGAAGTGGGAGCGAGAGGTATAAAAGTTAAATTTCTCTGCAACCCACTTAAAGAATTTTGCCTGTCCAGAACTCACATTAATTTGTTCTTGGAACGTACTAAGAAGACAGTCCTAGTAGGTTCTTTTTAAATTTGGTTAGATAAAGAGAGGATCTTGGACGGTAGAGATGAGCGTTTAACGCGCGTTAGATAAGGCCCCCTTAAACCCACACCTGGGTCCCAGGCACTGTCGAAACTCCACTCGTAA